TGTTTTGTCAGAGGGGGTGGGCCAGTTGCAAGCCCGACAACAGCCTCGCAACTGCATGCGTTGCACCCGACCGCAATTGCATGTCCCCCGACATGGTTGCAACCGAACCTTTGTTTTGTCGGAGGGGGCGACGGGAGAGGGGGCGGGCCAGTTGCATGTCCGACACTAGGAATGCAACTGCAAGTGTCGCACCCGACCGCAACTGTATGTCTTGTAACTCGACCTCAACTAAATTTTTTTGTTCTGTCGGAGGGGGCGCCGGTAGAGGGGTTGGGCCAGTGGCAAGCCCGACAACAACCAATTGAACATCGTCCATGTTGTACTCGCATGCAAGTGCAAGCGACACTAACCGGGCGCAACTAGGGGCGTGTGGCTGGGTGCTTGGGCGGCCTCGTATGTTGTTTTATTATTGACTTTTCATTATTACTTTTCTACTTTTTGTTTTATTTATGTATATATTTTGTGTCTTGGATTTGTATTATTTTTCTAAATAGCGCTGTTATGTTTTTTAATAAAAGAGACAACTTTGCCCATGTGCAACTTAACACATTTTTTTTATTTTCAAAAAAATGTGCCACTAGTTATACACTCAGTCGCACGTAGTTGCATGTTCGACGACTACACTCAATTACATGCCTACCATATGTGTGCAGCTTTTTTTTAAAAATATTGCCAGTCGGTTGTATGCATCTTGTCTGAATGTCTACCATTCTTGTGCAACTTAATATATGTCTATTATCCACGCCCATTTGCATGTCTAAAGTATATATGCAATTTAGTTGTTTTTATTTTAAAAGGTACCACCACCTGGATGCACACACATCGACAATGACGCAGTTGCATTTCTCATTGTTAGCGTGCAACTTTTAAAAGAAAGGAAAAGTATATTTTTCGTCTCTCAACTCTTTCAAGAGTATAGAAATGGTCCCTCAACTGTAAAACCAACAAAAATTGGTCCCTCAACTATTCAAACCGGATAAGTTTAGTCCCTCATACCGCTTTGACTGTTTTTTTTCGGACGGGGAGTGGTTTTGACTAAAACTAGATGCATTGTACAGGCTGGGCGGTCACATCAGTGTGTACAAATCTGCAGGGTCCACATGTCAGCCTTAGGGAGAAAGAATAATAGATTAAAATAAAATGCATTTGCACAGATTTTTAATTTAATACCGGAAACAAGCTAGATCAGTAGGTAACCACCACACCAAGGATACTATGTAGTATTACACAGACAAGTATAAAATCTTTTGTAGTTTTGCAGATATTAAGCATGTTGACTCGTCTGCACCAGCATTCCATGTTCGAGTATAAGAAAAAAAATAAGAAAGTATCTCTCACTATAAGGATATATGAAATAATAAAGCTGAATTCTATTTCTATCCATTATCATATCAGGTGCAGTTTGATAAATATGAAATATAGTGTGTTTGTCCGTATCACAAAAATGCTTACTGGCTGGGTGGCTAGCCCGTGCTTGCACTTAGCACGAGGTGCCCCGTTCGAGTCAGTCGACGGATGATATGTTTTTTGCACGTATTTTACTTTTTAGACCACACTCTGTTCAAGTTTCGACCACTAACAGGCTGGTCCCACTGTTCCAAACAAAAACCAGGCCACATCAGCAAAAAAAATCAGCCAAAGTGGTATGAGAAACTAAACTTATCTGGTTTTAAAAATTAAGGAACTACAGTTTGTTGATTTTGGAGTTGAGAGACCATTTTTATACTTTTAAAAAATTGAGGAAAGAAAAATGTACTTATCCCTTAAAAGAAATGTCATCTATTTGTACACACTGGTTTTCTTACTTTTTACTTTTTTTCTGTTGCCTTTTAATTTCTCAGTTACATAAATGTTTTTGAAATGATACAAAATGATTCAACTTGTATGTCCTTTTCCTCCAGTTTTTTCCCATCTTATTCTCTGTTGTTTACCTTTTTGTTCGGAACTTCTTTATACAAAGTGAGTGAATATATTTTTGGTCCTCTCGGTGGT